ATTCAGAGTTTATGGTGGGGGGATTTTTATTTATTTACATAGACTATTAAAATAATACATATTGTGCGTTAATTTAGGGACTGATTCATTAGGAATATTATGCAGGCATAGCTAAATTTGCCAGTTGCAACAAATCCCGCATTCGCTGTGTTATATCTGATACTCCTGAGATTTGATATTGGGAAAATAAGGCTGAAGCCTCCACTGAAGCCACATCACCTCCAATGTCTGGTAAAGCTCTTTGACTTTGATAGGGTTTTTTTATGTTGGCTTCAGTGGACTTTGTACTAGGTCCTAGAAGGCAAGAATGGTTTGCAGACTAAAAAGAAGAATACCTTTGAAGAAACAATCATCTCTGGTTTTGTAAAGAACATATGAAGAACAACGATTATTCCTTGGCCCCAATCCAACATTTTGTGACCATCTCCCCAACTGCCCCACAAAAGGGAAAGCAAGCCAAAATTCTCTATTAGTTCTAAACCAAAGAAACTTTTTTTTCCAGGTATGCAAAGTGTTCTGTAACACTTTTTACAACCGTTTGGATGTATTAACTGTGTAACGTTTCCATTTAATTTCACTAACTCAGAAATGGAAAGAAAACAAACAGACAAAGACGGCTAGCATCTTGCAGAAAGGGCAGTAGACTTTGGATATCTAAATGACACGTTGAGTTTTTATACCAGTTCAGTGATGTAAAAACTACACCAGTATGGGTTAAGTCCTTAGACTTAATAAAGCTATGCCATTTGATACCAAGAATTTGGTCATAAATATGCACTGCCTTAAAAATAGAACTGTAAGTAGCTTCAAATACTTGGGAGACTTTCTAATATTCTGTACAGGTTTTATCATTATGCCTTTTGTTAACAGTATTCTTCCAGGGTCGTGCAAGTCTCCATACTTCAATTGAGAGGTAGATGATGAGAAAAATTTGAACTGCAAAACAACATGCAAATTATGTTGAAATTATATAGCAACACTTATGCAAATTGTGATCAAAAAGGTGATAATACATGCAAACACTTTCAGTATATATATATGCACAAATATCAGAAAAGCACCCACCCCCCAAAAAAATCCAGAGGGCCTTGTTAAAATTGATATGTCATCTCTGAAAATAATTATTTAAAAATTCCCTTTATATTCCTCTCTTTGATTAGAAAAATAGTCATCTATAGAGAAAATAACAAAAGTTCCCTCGATTCAATTTTGTTACAGGCAAAATTGTCAGTATCAGTTACAGCATGTTCATCTATAAAAGTGGTCACTGGCTTTGTTTAGTGAAATCCTGATGGCTGCCCCAAATCTGGCTGCATGTGGTATCTATAGCTTATTATATATCTGAATAATACCTCCCCGCTAATTCTCACAACCGTCCAAACCTGAAAGTGGCAAGTGAAAAATGTTGCTTAGGCATTTGAAAAAAGAGAATGACAAGAAAGCGTTTAAGAAAAGTCACTACATGCCAGGTCCAAATTCTTTGTGTTACATCAAAATGGAGAATGGGGTGGGGAACCTTCAAGAGGAACAAGAGTTCTCTGGGAGGAACAATCATCTACACGCTGCCAAATGTTTTTTAAGCACACTGGATGCTGATATGCAAAAAGACTATTAAAATTCACGTGAGTTTTGAATCATGATGTCAGTGAAATTGCTGCGATTCACTTCAGCAGTAAGTAAAGTTGAACTTCCTCTCATAAGGATAGTATCATTAAAAAAAAAATCTATTTGAAGATAAAACAAGACTTTCCCTAACTCCGTCAAAACAGTTCACAAATCACACCCCTGAAGTAAAAGGATTGTAGTCTGACTACTTATGCTACAGGATTTCATATAAAAAAGATGCTTCTGTGAATTTAGTGGAAATACAGAACTGGCAACAGTTGCAAGCACAGTTCAATGGGGAGAGGTGGGAGGGGTGAACTTTTGATATGGTCTGGAAAAAGTACTGAGAATTATTGGTGAGAAGTCTTTCTCTGGAGTTGGAAACGGCAATACAGAAGAACCCTCCAGCTACTAGAGAGTATGATGTCAAAAAATCCTAAAGAGATAAAAGTATCTGGAGGTGTACTCCTGAAATGACTTGAAATTTAACCTGGATGTTAAATAGGAAAAATATTATTGATGTTATCCCCTTCCCTACTAAATTTAAAATTTTGGCATTATTTTTCTTGATTGGTCAAATAAGAGCAAGATGATAATTAGGTTCAGTGACATTGTGGCAGAGAAATGAAAAGGATGAAGTATACATGAGTATAAATGAGATAAAGACCAATTAAGGATTTGCTTGCCCTGACTGACACAGACTACAAACTCTATAGTGCAGAACAGATGCATGTGCTATGTCTTGAAGTTTGAGAGTACATTTCTTCATTGCAGGGCAGGGGCATCTCTTAGTCCTGACCCTGCAGTCGTCCAGGCTGGGGGCGAGGTAATTAAAAGAAACCAGAGGAAATTTAGAGATGGTATATACCCAGGTCTTATCCTGAAAGCAGAAATGTAATGATGAAATGATTTGCAGTACAAATTACAGCTCAGTGCAAGTAAGAGCGACATTCAGGGGTTTGAAGGCAAGTTATACTCATTTTGCTACTTTGCTGCTCAGTGTAGAGTTGATTCAAGGCAATTTATTATTCTTATTACTTTTAGAAATAAGAGCTACCTATACAAGGCAATTGGCCCTTAAGGACCTGTTATTTGGAAGACACAGGTTTTTAATTCCAGGCAGTTTTTGCATAGATATGGTTCCAATTTTCTTCATTCATCTCTGGATTTTAACTTCTTTAATATTCAGTAATACCAAGAGTATTCTGATGGTTTTTATTTTGTTGCTAGTATTAAGAGGAAAAATAATGAAAGAGGTGTAAGGAAATGTTTCACTTGACTCAGTTCTTACTTTATATTACTCCAGTTGCCTGCTACATCATTTTACCTTATGGGATTAAAAATTACACATTGGTGAGTGGTGGTAAAGCAGCTCTTTCATTCCTATTATTTTTTGACATAACTGACCAGAGATGAAAGAGCAGTATCTCTGCAGAGGGTTGTGTTTATATAAATTTTTATTTCTTCTGAGATAATAACGTAATTTTTGTTACTGGTCATCAGGTGTGTCTATTGCTCACGGAACCTTGTTTGTCCCTTATTTCCTATGCCATGTTGCATCCACCTCCATGATCCTGCATGCAACAGGCAAGTCGCTCACATGGTTCCTGAGAGCCTTTTTTAATCACCTTTTTTCTGAGTCCTTTATTTACTCAACAGCAACTTTTAACAGACTTAAGTCAAAAGTTGGCACTTGTTGTCTTCTACCCTGTATTCTTAATCACGTTCTTTTTTGCAAAGAGATAATAAGCACCTAGAATTTTGCCTCCGTCATTTTGGTTCAGCCTCTATATTCATCTCTTTTCAAATAATCTCTGCCTTTCCACCACTTTCTGTCAAGAGCAGACTGATGTTCCTGATGACTACTCCTTAGCTAAAATTTCAGCTCATCTGTCGCAATCCAGTATTTATAACTGGTATTCCTCACTGTATGAAAGTTTAGCGTCTATGAAACTCCTCATCGCTTTCTGGCTCTGAGCATGTAGGACCTGCACAGATACTGCAATTCACCCTGTATGTTTGTATAGCCAAAACCAGAACAATACTTTTACCTCATGGGGTGTCGGCAGGGCTACGGTTAGGAAGGAAGGACAATGTATTTCTTTCTTCTCTGAAGCTAAGGGCTGGGAGAGGAACTGTAGCTCTACTGGGACTAAATCATTCTCCTTTACGCAGTTCACTGCTCAAATCTGAGCATGTAATCCATATTTTCTCCCAGAATTCTGAAATGTACATACTTTGTTGCTGATGTACCTATGAAACAGGATTTGTAGAAGATGTTTGATTTTCCTGCATATAATTAGGAAAAATGTAGGTATTAATTTCTGTACCATGCTGCAAGTAGATTCATGATGCTTGTCCCCGAGAACAGTGCTGAGATAATGAAAAAGTTCAGCATTACTGTGGAACTTCATAGTATATAAGTTGATAACCCAACAAAACAGATGCAAGCACTATCAAAATTTTTAGAAGAATGAAAATAGTAATACTGAACACTAATCTTAAGAAACAGCTTAAGAAAAAGCACTCCCATACCTGCCAGATCTTACAATTATTTTTTTTCTTTTGTTATTGGCGCTTCCAAGTGTGTTTAACACAGATAGCTGTCTGTCCAATATCTTTGTAACTTTCTGAGATTTAAAAGAGGGCTAAAATGAATTACATTCTTTTCTTGGAATTGAGTGTATGTGTATCCTGCATAAACAGTGCATAAACATTTTATGAATCAGACCCTTAATTTTCACAATTTCTGAGGCATTTATATGCACATCTCCAAAACGAATAGCACCTTTCCCCAACTACCAATAGAACAGAAATATTTTTACTTAATACCTTCAGAAACTTGCACTTCTAGCTTTGAAGTGCAATGCTAAATGATTTTTGTAAAGTAAAATTGTAGACTTATGCTTTCTTTTGCCTAAAGGAAGAGGAACAATTGTGTACATTTTAATTGATACGAGTGTCTGTGTGAAATTGTAGACACAAGACCAAATATCCTGCACAAAAATGATATGACAATACAAAGCTTCCAGGCTGGCACTGTCAATGTGCCTTGCAGCATTTTTGCTCGAACGGGCATTACAAAAGAGAAGTTGCTTTTCACTAAATACATGGGAAAGGGAGGCGAGAACTGGTGCAAAGCTACCTGTCTGCAAAGACCTGAAGTTAGACCTTAAATCTCCTCTCAGTAGACCATCAAACAACTAACGACTTGCCAAGAAACCGAAGCATCTACTTTGAAGTCATTGCCATGGAACTGATTCAGGCCACAAAAGCCAAGGGTAAGTATCCTTTTAACATAGCAGGTTCTGAATCTAGTCCCTTTAGGAAGAGGGCTTCACAGTCCAATTCAGATCCTTCAGCCATACAGGAATACATAATCAAATAAATTGCCATTCTTGTTAGCAATGTAAATCTTGGTTTCAAATCCTTTTATATACAGGCAGATTTTAGCTTAGTTTGAATTAGTGAGGTCTGAACGTGTTCAAATGTATATGTTGAAGTACAACGTAGTCAGCTATCACAGGAGGAAATGACTTCTGGAATATATTGTAATTCAGCTGTTTATTGTATTTGAGAGATGGTGCCCACCAATTGTTCATCTTCTAGCCTTAACTTTTACATCCATATTATAATTGCTTATACAGACATAACGTATATTTTTGATCTGGTGGGCATACGAAAGAGAAAAAAGTTTCCGTGTGCTTCACTCAGGTACTCTGTCTCTTTTGAAAAAAATCTTTGAGCTTATATTCTTTTTAATATTAGCAGTAAGTACAGTTTGGGCAGATTATTCCAACAGACGTTAACAATACTCTAAAGATGAACAAAAAGTATCTTCCCAAATAAGAGTAGGAGATACTTTTGCATTAGATATACTTTTGAAACAAAACTGTTTGTCATTGGAAGGCTGTATAGTCTGGTTACCTGACTCTTGATCATCCAGAATCATAGTTTGATGGACTTACTTGCATGGAGTCACTACCTCTGTAATCTCAATTTTGTATCACTGAAATAAATAAACTGTAGATAGTAATTTAACTTAGAGTCTTGCCACGGGCCAAAAATCTGTTCCCATCCAATACTGTGACTGACCATTATTACCACAAAACCTGGCCTATGTCTTGAAGACATATTTCTAATGGAAGTCATAAATGTTGCCTTCTGAGCTATATTGCAGATTAAATATTGGTTTCTCTTTCTGAAGGATCTTCAAGAGCTTTATCAGCTCTGATGGCAGCATCTTCGTTCTCATTGTTTGTTAATGGTTCCGATTCCTTTGAGTCAGCATTCTTTTGTGCTTTCTGCTTCTCATCTTCTAACTTCTTTTCTTTTGCCAAAAGCCTGTAGTTAATGGCATTGCCAATGAACAACCAGATACTGGCCACAATCACAATCACACCGCAGACGAAATACATGTACTGATATTCACCAGTAACATCCACTAACCAACCTGAAACACAAAGATAAGAAGAGAGAAAAAGAGTCTTTAGAATAGGATACCCAACACAATCCAGGTCTTTCCCAAAAATATCTATTTATTGTTTGGTTTCGAAGTTAGAGCAGAAAACCATTTTCAACATGTTCAAATTGTCTAACATATATAGTGGAACTCTAACGAAACCTGTATTAGTCAAGCTAGGAATTGTCATTGGAATCACTGACAGTGATAAAATATTGAAGAGCAAAGTAAGTAAAGCTTAACGACTAATGACAGACAAGTTTTTTAGTTCTTTCATTTTCATTCTTTCATTGCCTTATTATTTTATTCACCTCCTAATTTTGTTTCCTATTGTTTTGGAGTGACTGTCTGACACTCACGGAGGCTGCATACAGACAATAGGATGAAGAGGTGTGTGCCTTTTTAGGCTGCTGTCACTGTGCATCAACTGCCTGCTTTTCATTTTTACCTTCCTGTGACTGGTGAAAGAGATAGAAAGGTTTGTCCCTTCAGCTGTCATGCTCAATTGCTGAGTTTTAAACTACAAAGCCTGTACTTAAAAATTATATCCACACCTCTGAGATTAATTTGGTCATGACAAGGAAAATAAAATGTAACTGTTCTTCCACTTTATGAGCCATTCTTTCTCACTTTTCCCAAACCTCAAATCAACATTTGTACGCATCCAAGTATTTAGCTCTGAACTCTGCTACCCTATCATTGAAATTCAGAGGGTAACCTGCACACTTCCATTTAGTACCTATTTAGATGCTTTTACTGGGTTGAAGCCATAATGCCAGCCTATTCACCTGATACACATTTACAAGCCATCAAATTGTTTTGGTCTTTTCTTTATTTCACAAGCCTAGTATTAGGAAAAACTCAAATAGCACTGCAAGAGTATAATTCACCTATTAGTGTAAACAGTACAATTTACTGGTTTTTATCGATGAGCGGTCTCATAAAATTGATGATTAAAAATGAAATTCTGCATTAACATTACTTCAGCATAATATTTAAAGGATATGAACTAGTCAAAACTGGAATTCAGCTTTTCCATGTGTTCATCCCCTTTGTTGTCTTTATTTAACAAGACAAATCAATTATTCACACAGTTATAGCACAAACACATGCTTTTCAAAACTCCTGCAAAGCTAATATACTGAAAAACAAACAGCTGCACATGCTATTGCTCCATAAATATTAGATCTAGTATCTGTAGAGTTAATATTCACATCGATTTCAGAAGGCTGGACCCCAGCGGTCCCAGGCTCAGTCCCCGCTAGGTGGCATAGGAAGAGTCTGTGTGAGAATACATCTTGTTCTGCCATTACCAAAATGAATTTGAATGTTAAAAGATAAGGGAAATATGGAATATTTTGAGGACTATTAAACATTTACTTGTACAAATATTGCACTGAAGTGAGTGAAATTGTTCTGGTATATTTAAAATTTCACTCGACAATGCTAGTTTCATAGAAATACTGACAGTAATCCTTAAAATATTTCGATATGTATAGATGGTTTTAGGCACACATAATCTTACTGACTTCGGTGGCACTGTTTATGTGGGTATAGTGTACGTTCACAAGCCTGGTAATCTCACTATCTTTATATTTTCCTATTGTTGGGTTTATACTGCAACACACACAGGTACATCTAACCAATACTTTTCAATAATATTTGAACATCTATTTTAGTCTCTTTTATCATCAAAAACCTTAAGGTTATAAAACTTACTAATAGCATTACTAAATACTGACTAAAAAGTTAACAAACAGAAAATACTTTTGATATGACTCTTCATCATTTTTGGTGCTAGAAACCCAAAAGTTAGGAATATAGTCCAAGCTATACACCTAAGCTCCCTTTAAGCTCCCCTCACATTCATAAGAGAGAAGTTGGCAACATTATCACCTTTCAGTCAGTTCTCACTCTGAATTGCCCTACACATACGTGTTGGCTATAGAAACAGGCTAAAGGACCGGCTGTGAGCAGGGCTGTGGTCTGAAATCATGCCAGGGTGCAACGCTCCATGGCATCGCCCTGGAATCCCACCATGCACGCACCCTGCCTAGGCTGCTGAGCGTATCCGTGTCCTTTCTGGCACCTCTCTCCTGGTTTCTTCTCTCTAGAAATGCCAATCGTCTCTGTTTAGACAAACTAAAGATGTTATTTTAAATTTAAGTGAGTGCTCCTCTAGCTGCCACTAGGTTACAGAAACTCTAAACCACTCTGTGAGATCTTCATAAAAACTTACCAGCGGATTCGACCAATTCAAGAGAGTAAGAACTGCTTTGGCAAAGAGCAAACTGGAGCTGAATACACACAAATCAAGGCTGCAAAATTAGCAGTACGTGCTATCAGGAGAACATACGTTTATCACCTGGATTTACGGGCCAGTAGAGATACTGCGCATGCACTCAATGCATGCCTTTAGATTCTCATGCGGATCTGCAGCTGTAAAGGCCAAAGAAAATTGGTGCAATGCACTGCTGCTACAGTACATTCCTAGTCACAGTGAAAACATTCAATAACATTAAGCACAATGTTTATATTAATTCAATGCTAAATTGTAAGATCATGCTGTAATGTCTGAAAAAATGGAATAAAAGCGATTCTTACCTCCTAGAGGAGGGCCTATGAGGACAGGGCAACATTCCACAATGGTGACAAGTCCAACAGCACTGGAAAATCTGGCAGCCCCAACGAGGTCCATCAATGTCTCAAAAAGAACGCTGCTAACCATTCCGAAGGCAAACCCAAAAAATACAGCATATATCACCAAGCCAGTGTAATTTGTTGCCAGAGGGCACAAGATATGACAGATGCCATTGTACAAAACGGCAAAACTAAAAAAGTACTGAATCTTTGGCCGGATAAACTTGGAGTTTGCTACAAGTCCCATTGAAGGCCTAGCAAACATGTCTACAAAGGCTAAGATAGATAGCAAAAAAGCAGCAGAATATTCATCAATTCCCTTGTGCTTGGCATAAGGAGCCAAGAATACTATTGGAGCAAAGAAACCGATAAACATAATGACATTTCCTGATAAATAGATCAGAAACCCTCTGTGTTTGAAGAGGGACAGATCTAGATATTTATTAATAGTTTGCCAAAAAGACTTCTTGTTGTTTTTGTGCAAGGTAGAATCTCCTGTGCCTTTTTCAACATCTTTCTTCACAGGAGGGATTGTTTTCGGTCCAACAGGTCTCATAAGTGACCCAGCCACACAGCAGTTCAAAAGAAGTCCTCCCAGAATGAGAAAGCTTCCTTTCCAGCCAAACGCATTAAAGAGGAATTGATTGAGAGGTGCCAATGTGCTCAGAAACACTGGACTTCCAGCCATGGCCAATCCATTAGCAATGGGACGCTTCTTATAGAAATACTTGCCAATCATGGTCAAGGCAGGCTGTAAATTGAATGCTAAACCCAGACCTAAACAACACATAAAAGACAATATTATTCCAGGTCATGGACTGAAAAACATATCACGCCTCTTTCAAGTTATTTTTAAAATGATCAGTATCTAATGCAATGTTTCCCAACGAAGACAGAAACCAACTATCATCAGAGAACGAAATACAGCTTCCTTGCTGTCTATGTGTGTTCATGCCAAGACTGCGTCATGGCGGCACTCTGCCATTTGCCCCTGTAACTCTGCAATAAAAGCCAAAACTCCTTGCTGTCTTTTAGCAATGATAGAGATGGGGGAATCACAGAGGAATGATGGTATCAGCGCCTTGACTCACCGTTTTCATATTTACTAAGCTATAATGCAATTCTCTCTTGGCTCATTTCACAAAAGTCATTCAATGTCACCTCAGCTACAACGAACGCAGGGTGTAGTTAAATGCATAAATCTCTTAATTTCTTATTTCCAGCCCTATTTAAGATCAAATCTGTGTAGAAAAGTGGAGCTTAAAATGGCGAATTATTTTGGACTATATTCAGCTCCACATCCCCAGGTATGGAAGTCACTACTAAAGGTAGAAGAACTGTAGAGGACATTCATGGGAGCAGACCACCCATCCACATCAGCTGAGTGTATAAGCTAACTCTAGGCCTTCTCTCTGTATTAAGACATCTAGACAAGAAGGTCTAAGTAGCTACGCATCTGCTGGATGGCACAGGAGAGAAGTTTTCTTCTCTGACAGGCCCATTCCTGGACCCTGACTTTATTCTTTCACTGGGCCCCAAGTTCAGGCTGCAGAAAATAAGAGCTTTATGAAATAATCACTGAACAAAGGAGGACTCCTTTAGTGCCAATACAGAAAAAGATGAGCTTGAATGTAGGAACAAGTATTATCTCATTCATTCATTATCTGCCAGTATTTTTTCACCTGATTTGCCCTTCTTATTCTGAGGAGGTAGTTTAAAAAAAACCCACAACTTTTGATAAAGAGGTTATTTAATTTACTGGCTTTATGATCACTTCAGTTCATTGCCTTAGGCAATATCCAGGCCTTTGATGATATACGAATAATTTTATTTGGGGATTGACACTGGGGGATTTTAAACAGAAAGCTATTGAACTGAAAGTTGTCATCCTTTTCTGTGAGACTATGTGTATGTACAAACCTACAGAAAGCTGGTACTAGCTTTCACGTTTTTACTAGAATTCTGCTAGCCTCTGCCACCCCGTTTGAAGAGCAACATGATTGAAAGCTAAAAGAATGAATGTGAAATTCTACACAAATGACTGTAATAAGTGCTGTCACAAGTCAATCAATTTTTATACTGTAATTACAGTGCAGTGTGGAACAGTACATACATACAGCATTTATTGAATAAAATCATCAGTTGTTCCTGAAATATCCTAAGAAATAATTTAACATCATACCAGCTAATTTAAACAATTAGATAGTTCAGGTAGCTGAAATGAACTGATCTTGCTACCTTCTTGGTTTGCATTTGTACAATGCCCTGCACAGTGGGATCTTGATCAGTAAAGCTCATTGGTAGAACAGTATTATAAATAATATAATATAATGTAATATAATATAATAT